GATGACAGCGGCGCCCATTTCCAAGTAAATCAATCATAATTCAAGCACAATAAGTCCGTAATGGAAATTGTATAGCTGGCGCTCCTGCTACAGTGGAGCCTCTCAAAACGGACACAAGTCGCATGAATATGTGAAAAATAATGAAATGTTGCCTAGATTTTGATTTTTGTATTGAGAGTAAGAGCGAGGCGCTTAGGAGAGCAGAGGTATCACTGTACAGTTTTTCGAGACTAGTTCAGTCAATTGTGTCTAGTGACACGCCCTCGACGCCCTCGGCAGGCATTTATGCAAATTCTGGCTGGGCTTGTTGCGTGTCCGTGGCAAATGAAGGCGCAACGTTGAATTTATAATTGATGCGGCTGCAACAACAATTGGTTGTGACTACAACTCGAAGTTGCCATGGGACAGGCTTAGGAGCTCCACCTTATAAACAAACTTTAACGAGAAGACAACTCGGAATCAACTTCAAGTCGAGGGCGTTGCTAGGCGGCGGGGGCGTGGCCCCCCAAAACTGGCTGGAGCAAACGATTTCCTGTCGTCCAGGCGCAGACAATTAAAGTCAAATATTTAGAAAAGAAAATAATAATAGAAATTCATGCAATAGCCACAATTCACAACAGACAATGGAAAAACAAGAAACAACAACAAGCTGTACAGTTGGGTCTGCTCGACTAGCAGATACCCTGTACACAGCGAGGAGCTGCCGTGCTTGTTCTTCCCTTAGTCCCTCACTTGGGATGTTATCGATGGGATTAACTCGGAAATTTATTGTCCGATCTTTATGAAATTTTCAGTACGTAAATATGGCCTGGAAATGCGTGTACATCCCAAAGGCCGGGAGCTGCGGCATCTACGGGTATCTATATGTATCTTCATGGGAATATCTAAAGCAAATTTATTGCCTCTGGCTCGTAATATCAAAGGTAAACTATTGCGTCCACTTTTTAGAAAAAAACCAACACACTTCGAACCTTGGCATTTTTCAAGGTTTTTCATACTTTCTGTCTTTTCTGCACGCGGCACAACTGGACTCTGCGTCAAATGTCGGACACAAGCGCCCAGTGCAATTTTCACACATGTGTCCGGTGTCAGAGAATAGTTTATGGGGGCAGCAGGGTGCAGCAAAGGGTGGGTAGGGGGGAGGTAATAGTGTATGGCAATGGAAAAGCCAACAATTGCAAATGTAATACGAAATGTTAATTAAATACCCTTTCGAATATATATTTATAATAGAACAAAGTAATGTTTTTGTGCCTATTGTAGCTATCGCAAATGTGTCGCGCAGGCGACAGTTGTTCTTAGCTCCCAGGTAACGCTCATATTTAATATCTTTAGATGACATTCTTGCCTATTTGCTAGGCAAAAGCTTTTATAATTCCAAGCAAAACGTGCCTAGGTATTTTGCTATGAGTGAAAGATGGTATGTTATATCCTTTGAATGAATTGAATTGAATTGAAATTTATTCAAAGCTAACGTAAGCTATATTTGATTTGGGTTTAAACCAAATTTGAGTTAACAAGCTGTAAATACAGCTATAAAAAAGCTTTGAGACACAAAACGCATCACAAAGTAAAAGAACTCCGCGCTGATACTAAACTTAAATGTTTAACACCTCTTGACAGCAGCTAAATTTTAATTAAATCAGAGTATATGTGTGTGTGTGAGTGCGTGAGTGGCAGCAGGTGCAGCTGTAAATTGTTAATGCCAAGAGCCATCAAATTAAGCATTTTATCACACAAATACACACACAGACATTCACACGCGCCGTCGAGTGCACTGCGCCCCACAAAGTATGCAGTGGTTTTTTTTCTTGCTCGACCGGAAATGAGCAGCTGCCCTGAAAAAGTGCTCGACTTTTGAACACGTGAGACAAAAACGGCTCGCATTTAACAAACGGGTTCGAAGTCAAAGAACTAAGCATATGCATTTGTTTTAGTTTATTTTAGTTCATTCACACGAGACACGCCAAAATGAAATGCATGTCAGTCAGTTGGGTGACAGAATTAGAGCTGGGGCGTGGCTGGGTCGGGGCGTTCGAAGGGGTTACAAATAACATTTCTAGCAGGCACAACAACAATACAACTAAATATAGCAACCATATAGTCATGTGTGTGTGTGCGCGGTTAGAGACTTTAATTAACTTTTGCCAGTTGTGGCACAATTGTCAATTGTCAGTGTGACCAGACGTTTTGCCGGCATAAATAGACAAATCAGTGAGGCATTACTGCATGAGCCAAATTACAGTGAAAACTAATCTAAAGACTGGTTACCCAAAGTTTGATTGAAGTTGAAGAAAAATTTGTGGCTTGCTATTGCTCTAAGCATATTTTCGCAATAATTATTTTATAGAAATATAAAAGTCTGAAGAGTCCGACTCGCGCATATCCTAAATATTCTTCTATGATCAACAAATTATAGATACTTGCTTTGTATATACTATACTAGAAAATTCATTTCTAATTTGGTGACTTCGGCATTTTATTGTTAGAGCGTATAACTAAAGAGCTTGTGAATTTTTGTATGCCCTTCGTTTCGTCTGTAGCTACAGTACATTCAACTATGCCAACTGAGCTGCTATCAAATATTCGAACTTTTCCCTTGCTTTTGCTCCTCGGTCTATCGGTCTGACTGTCTGCCCGGCTGTCTGTCTGTCTGCCTGTCTGTCTGTCTGTCAGGCCCAATAACACGAGCGTCTGTCGAGAAATATCTAAGCTATCCATTTCAGTTGGAGTCAACTTGTCTGCCTGTCAGTCCCGACTCAATCAAATAATTTTTGACGCATTTCCACACACACTCTATTTTCCCCGTCAGGTGCATTAATTATTCAGTTTTGTTCGCATATTTAATGTGCATTTTTGCGTATATATGCATGCATATTTCCCTTCAACTCTTCATATGTTTTACATGCGCTTTTTGGTACAATGGAAGCTCAACTTTTTTCATTAAATTTGTCAAGTTGCAAAAGTGCCAGTTGTGGGGCGGCCCACTTGATGTTTGTGTTCGCCACTTGCCGCACAAATTCTTCTACACTCAGCGAAATAATAGGACGAATTCAAGAATCTTAAAGGACTTTTTGAATTGCCAGCGAAGAATTGTTTTACTTCTGACTTTACTTTGAGAGTTAATCAAATATGATTTATATATGCAAGAAATGTGTGCAGGAAAAGAAGCTCTGATTTCCAGCAAGTCGGTTTGAACCGAACTGAGAGAAAGTGCTGGTACGCAGCATGTTTAAAAATTAAAGATACATTTTGTTTGTGTTTGATTTTTAAGAAATATTGCAGAAAAAATACGCTACAAATTCCGGTTTGAGCCGAACTGAGAGAAAGCGCTGGTCCGGAATTAAAGATAAATATTTATTTGTGTTTGCAGCCCTGCAATATGCATTAAGGAATAAAAATTAACACTTTTAATTCTTTATAATTTATGCTCGAATATAGCAATAGATATTTCTCTGAGTGTATGCTGCGTATTACGCAAGAACCTTGCCCCCAAACACGCCGTATTCTATTCGACGCTGCCCACACACACACACACTATTTTCAGAGTTGCCAAGTCTTGTCAGTGCATTTGAATTGAATTTAAATGAAAACATTTGCGTAACAATTTGGCAACTGCAGCATGGTTCCCCCATCGGTTCGACATGTGTGTGGCTTTTGTATGCACAAATGTTGCAAAGTCACAATCGAGATGAAGCCCAGCTACAGCTACAGATACAACCCACACAGCTCGCAGCACGTAATCATCTACCCAAAAATCAATATCGAGCCTGGGCGTTAGAGCTCCAAATACAACTGCATGGCGCAGTGGTTAACACAACCCCGTCTTCTGCCATCTGCCCGACACTCGCGGAACCCCTCCAAGCAATCGTACATGTCATGCTGTTGCATATTTAACGCGCTTGCGAAGCCAACCAATAGATACAACTAGAGCTGGGGGGGGTGTTAGGAGCCGGGGTTAATGTGCAAATCACGCAAAATGTATGCGCATTGAATGGAAATAAAACATTTGAGTCTACAAAACGAAAGACATTCAGATTTCTATGAAAGCACTTGAATCCCACACAAGAGTCGGCCAAATAACGAGAGTCTGCCAAATCGAAAGGATAAATCACCAGGCAGGGCAAGGAGAGACGAAGACAACGGCATTTATCAAGCAGGACGCGGGTTCGAACTCCCCGTGAATGGAGTTTCCAGTCTTGCTGGGAAATTGATTATCTCCAACATACTTTTAGCAAGCAGGCTGAGCCATTGTGTGGCTTGTCCAATGGAAAGCATTACCACAGATGTTCATAAATGAAAAACAAAGTTCGAGCTTCCACTAAATCATTGCACAGGTGTCTTGTAATAGAACAAAAGCGGAGCCACAAGACAAGTTGATGAATTGAATCTAATTTAATAATAATTAATCAAGAAATTTGCAAAAAAATAAATAATAACAGCGCCTACTCCACTAATCGACTAGTTAAGTTAGCCGCGGTGAGCCTTAGTCAGTGCGCCTCAAACTGTAAATTGAAACTGTACGCATTTAGTTAGACATGCGTTGACCATAATGGGCGTGGCTATAAAACGACAGAAAAGTTTTAAAAGTAAGCCAAATAACTGAAAGTAAGTAAACAAATTTTGCTAAATAAGTAATTTAGTAATTTAGCTCAGTGACTCTTAAACTGTGGCCTTCAAACTGTAAATTACCTATTACGGTAAGCTTGATCTTATAAGAAGATCTCTCTAGCGCTTTTGTTGTTTAAAGAAGATTATCATCAAGAGCATAAAAAAAACTAAAAACAAAAACAAGTGAAAATAATCTTTTTTTTAATCTCACTTAAATAAAATGAATTACGAAGAAGGCCCCAAGTCTAAGCATCACTCGCAACCCTCAACTCTCAACTGAACTGGACTGGGCGAAAAACGGCGACTATAACTAACCTATAGACTAGCCAGAAACCATGCAAGGAACTGTCCACAATGCCCCTTCTTCTTCCCCCTCCTCTCTCTCTCTCTCTCTTGCTCGCTCTGTAAATCCTTCCTGCTCTTAGTTGCTGCTCGAATTGGAGCTGATGCTCTGCAGCGAACTGTTGGATGCCGTTTTGGGCATCGATTCATTGCCACCGGCGAGGCTGCATAGATTCTGGACAAGCGTGGCCGTGGAACGCGCCACAATGGGCGAGCATTTGGCATTGTTGGAGCTGGCAATGGAGCTGGCACTGACCGCCGCCAGGCTATGGCGCAATGGTTGCGGCGACGTCGGATTCGAGAGTCCGGATTCGTGTATCGGCGACAATGTGGGCGAGCGTGTGCGCAGAAAATGCTTGCGACGTTGACGTCTATATACATTGCCCAGACCGGGCAGCTGCCGGCTGGCGCACTGTGCCGGCGACGGCGACGGCGACGTGGACTGTCCATGGCTGGTCACAAAGCCGAGCGTCTCGGCCAACTCGGCCAGTTCGCTGGCGTTGGGCATTTTGCGGCGCGTGGGCGGCGGCAAGGCCGGCGGCAGCGTCAACGTATAGCTGGTGGTCACGCAATCCTCCCGTATCACGCTGGTGGGCAGCAGCATTAGCTCCTGGCTGCCGGTGCACGGCTCGCTGCTCAGATCGCTGCTCAGCTCACTGCTGCTGCCGCTGCGGCTGGGCGAGCTGATGGTTGGCGGCGGCGGCGGCGTCGCTGTTGTCGTTGTGCTGGACGCATTGGACATGTAACCGCGGCCCGGCTGCAGCTGCAGCGGACGTATCTGATTCTGTTTGATGGCGGCCACATGCTGTTCTGCCGCAGCCACGCCCTGATTGGCGGCGCCGGCAGCGCCGCGCTGACAGCGCGCCCGCCTGTAGCGTCCGAGCAGGCGCAGCATGTGCCGCAGCCGGGAGCTGCGCGGCGCCTTCAACGGCAGCTGCGGATTGACGGTGGCGGCAACTTCGGCTTGTGGCAGCTCCAGGCCGCCGTTCAGGCTGCGTATGAACTGGACGGGCAGCTCGCTGGCATTCATTTTGGCGTGCTCGCGATAGCTGAGCGCCGCCAACAGATCGTTGGGCACATCCGGGCTGTCGGGCACGCTGGCGCAGCAGTTCCATTTCCGGCGCCAGCGCTGGTGCTTCGATATGTTGCCCGCTGCTGAGGCGCTCGATGTGGGTGTGGCCGTTTGGCTGGCCAGCGTGCGGGTGCTGCTGCTGCCCGCTGCGCTGCCACTGCCGCCGCCACGCAATGGACTGCGCAGCCGAAAGGTGCACAAGGTGCACTGTTCCGTATACTGCAGATAGCCGGCCGATCTCTGCGCCCGCTGTTGGCGCACCGTGGCCGGCTCCAGGGCCGTCTTGACGCTGGCCGCGGCGCTGACGCGTCGCTGCATCGAGCCGGCCGCATAGCTGGAGCAGCAGTGAAAGGAACGCAACGGTGCCGCATCCAGATCCAGTTGCAGGCTACGCTCGCTGCTGCTGCTGCGCTCCTGCAGCAGCGAGCACATGTAGATGGCCTGGCGTGCCTGATGATATTCCCGTGAGCTGGCGCAGCAGTGCAGACGCTGTGCATCAGCTGCTGTGTCCGGCTGCAGCTGCTGCTGTTGCCTTTGATTGGGATGTGGCACATTAGAGCAGCAGTAGAGCTGGGCTGTGCCGGCGGTAGCCAGCTTGGACGGATGATTAACTGTGGGCAGATTGGGATTGAAGTGCACGCCATTTTTGCCCTGCTCCAGCAGCTGTTTGGCCCTGGCCTCCTGTGCCTGTCGATGATTCCTGATGTACTCGTACGTGGTCAGGCCCAAAAACGAGATGTAGATGTGAAAGAAGCACAAATGGAGCAACAGCCCGGCACTGATCGCCGCCAGCAGGCCGAGCACGCCCAGCAGCAGCAAGTAGATGGTCTCATGCAGACCAATACCGGCGACCAGGGGCGTCACCGTATGATTCAACTGTGGCCCAGTCGTGCTCTGCTCCAGCAGCGCCGTAAAGTTCTGCAGCAATGTGGATACCGTGGTCAGATTCTCCAGTTGCAGCTGCTCATCGTCCAGCTGCTGGTGTTGCGCCTGCTGCTGATTCTGGTCCTGTTCCTGCTCCAGCAGCAGCATGCTGCCATTGCTCAAGCTGAGCGTCAAGTTGATATAGTCCGTGGACTCCAGCGTTGTGTCCAGCCGGCTGTTGCACCAATAGAAGCTCAGCCAATCGGGCTGCACATAGTAGAGCACAATCTGGCCAATCACGGCGGCCACAATGACCAAGGTGGCCACAACAGCGCTGACAACGCACATTAGGAATGCGACATAGTTGCGGGAACCGATGCAGTGATTCAGCCACTTGCAATGATGATCAAATTTGCCGACGCACTTGTTGCACACGGAGCAGTGTTTGGTCCGCGGCGTTGTTGTCCGTATGTTGCACAGATGACAGCGTCCGTTCTCGATGACGTGTCCGTGTTTGCTGCGATCGAATTCGGGCACAATGCGATCGTTGCGATGCACGCGACGCAGCTCCTTGTCCGCCGGATCGGTGAGCAGCGCCGTCAAATGGGCGGCAATGTGCACCACATATAAGCCGGAGATTAGACCGTAGAGTGGACCCTGGATGGGCGCATGAAAGGCGGGTATCAGCACCCAATAGCTGGCCAAGCCGAACAGCAACAAGACCAGCCAGCCAAATAGCTGCAGCGGATGCAACGGCAACTGGAGTCCATGCAGGCGTCGGCCACGCCTATGCTGTACGTCGGCAATATTATTCTGATAGCTCACCAGCTGACTGAGCCGGCACAATGAAGCGGCTGCAGCCGGGCCCGAATGCGATGAGCCACTGGCAATGGCAATCGCTGCTGCACTTGCTCCAGTTCCGCTTCCACTTCCACTTCCAGTTCCAGTTCCAATTGCTGCTCCAGTTCCAGTTCCAATTGTTGTTGCTGCTTGTGTATAGTGCTTGAGAGGCGGCTCCTGCAGCTGCTCCGATAGGCTGGCGGTGCTGATGGTTATTATGTGATCCGTTTGCTCCGACAACTGCTGCTGCTGCTGCTTCTGCTTCTGCTTCTGCTCCGACTCCTGCGACTGCGGCGTCGCTAGTGGCGTCGCTCTGGACGCGTTGCGCATGTTGTTAAGGCTGATGATGATGTTGATGAAATTGATGATCGAATGATGCGAAATGTGGAATGCAACAACTGGCAATGGCACATTACAGCTGTTGTTGTTGTTCGTCTTCTTCTATTTGTTGTTGCTGCTGCCACGCCCACGCCCACGCGTATTTATGTAATCCGCCTGCGATTATCCTGCGCGCTGTGCACTTCGTTGTTGTCTGTTGTCACTTTGTTGTGTTTACTGTTGTTTATTGTGTGTGTGTCTGTGTGTGTGTGTGTGTGTGTATGTTTGTGTCAATGGCGCAGTTAAGAATCACGCAAACACATTCCAAGGGGGTGGTGCTTATAGGGTTGTCGCTGCGCTGCCACCCCCATACACAAGGACTCTTGCTCTATGATTTGTTTTTTTTTTTTTTTTTTTTTTCTTTATATTTTTCACTTATTTGTTTGGGCTACCCGCACACACACAAGCACTACTCTCACGCACACAACATATATGCACGCACAGCGACAGTGGTGAGAAGAAGAGTGACAGAGACAGAGAGTGAGAGCAATAGAGAGGCAGGCAGCAACCGAAAACGTAACGCTTAACGAACCAACTCGCCTGACGGACGCGAAGCAACTGAGCAACGCGCTGTGCACAAAGCTTCGCTGAAGCCAGCGCCTGCCATTGAAAGCACACGACGCGGCGCGGCGAGGCGAGGCGAAACCAAGCCGAGCAAAGCCGAGCCGAAGTGAACGATTTGAAGTTGAAAGCGAATTGAAAGTGTGCTCCAAAAAAAGCTTTGCACTATTGAAAGCAGCCAATATGATGTGATGAGGTTGAAGATGCTAGAAATTGGAAGTCAAAAGGAGTGAGAGAGAGAGAGCGCGGCGTGTCACAGCTGTCTGGTTACCGGTAAAGCGTTTTCGGGCTTAAAGACCGGCCTGGGATGGCGCACATAACTATCTGGCTATACATACATATATATATGTGTATGTGTGTATTGCTTTGAGGGTAGATTGGAGAGTAGGTGTGGGAGTTAAAGTGAGAAGCTGCTTGTTCTGGAGATGAGCGCGTGACGGTTGACAATTTCGAATGTAAGCGGAAGAGAGAGAGAGAGAGAGAAAAATTGTGCCTTATATGATTTTCTTATCTTTTTAACGAATATAACAAATTTTATAAAAAGCTTTAGAAAATAAACACAACAGCTTAACTCCATAGAAACCACTTGAATATGTTCAAGAATTTTCTACAAAGTAAAATATATGATTAATCAAATAAGAATGCCCAACTGGGCTATACCCAAGGACAGACTGAACAGTACGTCTTGATTTATTCAAGTATTGTGGCTCTTCTTCTTAAAGACTAAAAAACATTATTTCTATCTACCCTTTACAGATATTGCTAAGAATATTTTGCAACCCTTTCTAGAAAGTTCTCTTTATAGGGTATACTAAATTTGTGAATTAGTTGTAGTTGTAGTTACTAAAATAAAACTCTGATTAAAACACAAGTCCGCAAGTCCGAACCCTTAGCTCTACCAACAACATATGTTGAATGGTTTGCGGCTCTACCTACAATGACTCGTGGGCACGACTCACGCACGCATCTCTGATTCACCTGGCAAACAGGAAGCAACTATTATATAACGGTAAATGGGTCAGACTAGGCAAGAATTTATCACCAGAGATTGGCACGCACCTTTTGCTTTAATTTTTTTTTTTTTTTTTTTTTTGGTTCTTCATTTTTTTTTTTGTGTATGTGTATAGGATGTTAGGCATCATTTTTTATTTATATCAACGCCTGTGAGGTGTGGATGAGACGAGGCGCTGTTTGGACTGTTAGCTGAAATGGAAAGCACACTCGAGAGCGTATTTGGAGCACGTACGAACAGAAGCAAGTACTTTCAGCACTCGATGTGATTTTATTTCCATGGCATCCGTGAGCAGAATGCCGCAGACTTCTCGACGCCCCACTCGCCGTCTCAGCGACTCACTAACAGACTGACTGACTCATTGACTGACTGGCCGACCTATTGACAAATATTTATGCTGATGTCAAAACTCTCAATGCGAGGTCGCCCAAGATAAGCCCTTATATAAGACACACGCTATTGCCGCCGAGGCAATTCCAAACCAAGCGCGACTAATGGCCGCCAGGACTTGGCACACACTCGTAAAACTCAAACGCAAATTACCAAAACCAACAAAATGATGTATCAATAAAGTCAAAAGAAAAATCTTATTTATTCTGCATAAGATAAACTATCGAAGAATTCGAGTAAATATTGTACTTTGTGATTGCCGAGCCACTGTAGCTCGCAATTGTGATGCGATTTTTTGTTTTTAAAGTTGAAAAAACTATTTTTGTTTCTCTTTAATTTAATATATGAAAATATGCTTTCTAAAATGTAGAGGTCTTAAGCTAGAAACTTCTTTGGAAATTGCATACTTTAAAACTGTTTTTCAAGACTTCAAAGAAAGTGCAATAAATTAAGCTGCTTTTATAAAGTCATTGACCAAAGTTTTAAATAAGAAAACAAAAAAATATTGGTACAAATTATTGAGTGAAAATTTTAAGGCTTTTAGCTATGTTTCAAACAAATTTAAGACTCTATTTCATAAATTTTAAAGTCTTTTATCTAATGAAAGAGATATTTGAAGTTCTTTGCAAAAAAGAGTTTTCGACTTCAAGTTGTAACTCTTTAAGCATATATTTCAATTTGAATGTAAATACTTAAATATTGTGTAGGTTCAATAAAAAGGTTTAAATAAATTATATTTTGTAAAAAAAATGTCGTCTTTTTAGCAAAAATTGATTGAATTTGTGGTTGCAAGAAATTGCATTTTCTGTAGTTTCCGGTTCAATGTGCCCCCTGGCAACAAACACAACAAGAACAAAGAACCACAGAGAGGGCAAGAGAGAGACAGAGAGAGGGTAGGGGGAGAGGACCCAACTGAAGTGACAACAACGAAAGCTTTGATAAGCAGCCATAAGAAAAACAACAGAAAACAACAATAAACAAACAACAGCAAAAGTAACAAGTAAAAAGAACAAACGGAAGCTGTCAGCTTTCAATGTGAAAAGCTTCTTTGTCGAAGAGAGCCTAGAGGAGAGCAAAAAGAGAGCAACAAAAAAAGCTGCCACAGTAGGCCAAGCACAGTTAATCAAGTGACAGTATAAAATTTGATTAGCAGACATTTACATCTTTCTACTATTTTGTATGTTAAGTATGTCAACCAATAATAAAAAAAATAACTAAAATATTTTTAGAAACATATTTCTAGTTTTGTTTTTTTTTCGAATGAATGTTTGTGGGCATCGGAAAAACTCCAAATTTAATTGGTTTTAGCTCAGACCAAAACTAAAAGATTTTTTGCATGTTATACACACATATGTGCAAACATGATCGATATATTATCATTGCCGCGCCGCAACAATGTGACCAGCCAGATGAACACCAAACAGCCCAGCTATAAGACTGGGCTGCCCATCAACAGTCTACCAGGTTGGGAGTTAATACCGCTTAATTGCAAGTTACCCATGCTTAAGTGTCCTGGTAATCAGGTGATATTCTCAAAGGATAAAATCGGAAATACGGTAAGATATACATACATACATACAAGATATTATTATCTTTGGTATGCCGAAGTGTCAATACCAGTTGGCTTTATATAAAAAAGCCAACTTTTATGGGAGTTTTATCGCAACTCCAATCCTATATTGATGTTGTTTATGTCTTGAAAAACAAAAAGGTTTTAAATGAACACTATCTATGGCCATCATAAAGAAATGATATCCTCAAATATCCAATATAGACATCGGTCAAAACTTCCCACCCCCATAACTTGGTCAAATATCCTCCGATTTTCAGAAGGTTTGGCTTTTTGTTCATGATTTGGCCTCATTATCAATTCTGCATTCAAATCTCACTACATTTTTTTTGGTCAAAATGCATGTCAAAATGGTACCCTCAAATATCCTATATAGACATAGGTCAAAACTTCCCACCCCCATAACTTGGTCAAATCTCAACCGATTTTCATAAGGTTTGGTTTTTTGTTCGTGGCTTGGCCTCATTTAAATTTCTGCATTCAAATCTCGCTACATTATTTTTGGTCAAAATTCATGTCAAAATGGTACCCTCAAATATCCTATATAGACATACGTTAAAACTTCCCACCCCCATAACTTGGTCAAATCTCAACCGATTTTCATAAGGTTTGGTTTTTTGTTAATGGTTTGGGCTCATTAACAATTCTGCATTCAAATCTCACTACATTATTTTTGGTCAAAATTCATGTCAAAATGGTATCCTCAAATATATCCTATATAGACATAGGTCAAAACTTCCCAGCCCCATAACTTGGTCAAATCTCAACCGATTTTCATAAGATTTGGCTTTTTGTTAATGGTTTGGCCTCATTAACAATTCTGCATTCAAATCTCACTACATTATTTTTGGTCAAAATGCATGTCAAAATGGTACCCTCAAATATCCTATATAGACATAGGTCAAAACTTCCCACCCCCATAACTTGGTCAAATCTCAACCGATTTTCATAAGATTTGGCTTTTTGTTAATGGTTTGGCCTCATTAACAATTCTGCATTCAAATCTCACTACATTATTTTTGGTCAAAATGCATGTCAAAATGGTACCCTCAAATATCCTATATAGACATAGGTCAAAACTTCCCACCCCCATAACTTGGTCAAATCTCAGCCGATTTTCATAAGGTTTGGTTTTTTGTTCGTGGTTTGGCCCCATTAACAATTCTGCATTCAAGTCTCGCTACATTATTTTTGGTCAAAATTCATGTCAAAATGGTACCCTCAAATACCTATATAGGAATAGGTCAAAACTTCCCACCCCCATAACTTGGTCAAATCTCAACCGATTTTCATAAGGTTTGGTTTTTTGTTCGTGGTTTGGCCTCATTTACAATTCTGCATTCAAATCTCACTACATTATTTTTGGTCAAAATTCATGTCAAAATGGTACCCTCAAATACCTATATAGGAATAGGTCAAAACTTCCCACTCCCATAACTTGGTCAAATCTCAACCGATTTTCATAAGGTTTGGTTTTTTGTTCATGGATTGGCCTCATTTACAATTCTGCATTCAAATCTCACTACATTATTTTTGGTCAAAATTCATGTCAAAATGGTACCCTCAAATACCTATATCGGAATAGGTCAAAACTTCCCACCCCCATAACTTGGTCAAATCTCAACCGATTTTCATAAGGTTTGGTTTTTTGTTCGTGGTTTGGCCCCATTAACAATTCTGCATTCAAATCTCACTACATTATTTTTGGTCAAAATTCATGTCAAAATGGTATCCTCAAATATATCCTATATAGACATAGGTCAAAACTTCCCACCCCCATAACTTGGTCAAATCTCAACAGATTTTCATAAGATTTGGCTTTTTGTTCATGGTTTGGCCTCATTATCAATTCTGCATATAAATCTCGCTACATTATTTTTGGTCAAAATTCATGTCAAAATGGTACCCTCGAATATCCTATATAGACATAGGTCAAAACTTCCCACCCCCATAACTTGGTCAAATCTCAGCCGATTTTCATAAGGTTTGGCTTTTTGTTCATGGTTTGGCCTCATTTACAATTCTGCATTCAAGTCTCGCTACATTATTTTTGGTCAAAATTCATGTCAAAATGGTACCCTCAAATATCCTATATAGACATAGGTCAAAACTTCCCACCCCCATAACTTGGTCAAATCTCAGCCGATTTTCATAAGGTTTGGCTTTTTGTTCATGGTTTGGCCTCATTTACAATTCTGCATTCAAATCTCACTACATTATTTTTGGTCGAAATTCATGTCAAAATGGTACCCTCAAATACCTATATAGACATAGGTCAAAACTTCCCACCCCCATAACTTGGTCAAATCTCAACCGATTTTCATAAGGTTTGGTTTTTTGTTCATGGATTGGCCTCATTTGCAATTCTGCATTCAAATCTCACTACATTATTTTTGGTCAAAATGCATGTCAAAATGGTACCCTCAAATATCCTATATAGACATAGGTCAAAACTTCCCACCCCCATAACTTGGTCAAATCTCAACCGATTTTCATAAGGTTTGGTTTTTTGTTCGTGGCTTGGCCTCATTTAAATTTCTGCATTCAAATCTCG